TTGGTTCCTTTGTTGTTGATGGCGTTGTTTCTTCTGGGAGTGCAGCGAGCCACTCCTCCGGCTGTCCTTTTTCATCTCCCTTTATGTCTTTCCCGCTCTCCTCGCTTTCTTCACGGCTAGCGAAGGGGAGTGAGTGTACGCCGGCGATGTGGTGGTGGTCGGTGATTTACGGCGCACGCCTATCGAATTTCCAATTCTCCGCTCCCGTATTTCCTGGCTACTATATATCTCAGTTTCTTTCATTTCGCCCTTCCCTCCCCGACCTTCTCTTCAAAGTCGCCGACCGTTTTCTTCTTCTTTCCAGTCTCACTTTCGCCTCGCTCTCTCTTCTTTTTTCTCGCCTTTTTCCTGGTTTCCCGCGTTTTTTTCTGTTTCCCGCCTTCCCCTCGTCGCCTTTTTTGTTGCCGCTTTTTGAAAAAAAACTTTCCCCGTCTTGGCTACAAGTTATTGGTTGGGCTACCTTTACGTTTGTGGGGACGCGAATCGCTTCAATTACCCAATCGAAGGAACGTGCATTGTGTACATAACGGTCTTGGTTTTAGGCGCCTTCCCTCGCGCGGATTTTCGCCGCCCAAGCACCGGAGTCTATCCAGTTCATGAGCCAGGCAAGCGATTGTCACGCGACAAAGGAACTTCCAGCAGCTTCGGAGAACTACCTTCCGACGTTCTTCTTATGGACTTCCTTTCACGCTTTTCGCGGCGCTCGTTGTGTGCTTGTACGACCACGAAGGGGACTCTTAGTGCGCGTCCAGAGTCTTTTGTATTTTTTTATATTATATCTCTATTATATGATGTTTTATCCTCTCCATACTTTCTCGCAAACGTGGTAGTCGTGGTTGTTTTTGCAACATGTTAGATACGGTAAAGGCTCTGAGCGTGCGGGCGAGCTGGTGGTAGCTAATCATGTCTGAAACTGCGGTGCAGAGAAAAAAAAAAAAAACTTTTAATCAAGGGGAGAGACAGAGGGAACGCAGACGTTCCCTTCTGTCTCCCTTCCTTCGACTAAAGGTTTTTTCTTTTCTGAAGCAAAGTTCCAGACGTTAAGGGACATGATTAGATATGGTACCACAACACGCTTTGTTTAGATAAATATACTTATATAGTCCCAATCATATGTTTATGACATCAGTTCAAATTTGGATGTCTAGTGTACGGGTCGAGTCAATCGTTTTGAACGATTTGACTCGAGCCGTACGCTTGACACCCACGATATCATAGCTGTAATTTACTTCCCGAAGCTAAACTACACACCATGTAAACAACGCAGCAAGGGAAACTCTTAAAACAAAGAAAAGCGAAAAAAAAAAAACTTTAAACGAGACCGGCTACAAGAATTGGTTCTCTCGGGAATTATACACGAGAAAAAAAAAAAAAAAGAAAAAAAAAAACGCTGATAAATTACTTTGCCCGAAATATCTTAGGCAGAACTCAAAGATTCTGTCTTGTAATCTATCTCGATTTCTGCAGTCTCGTTTCGTGTATTACATCAACTAGTGCGAACAAATTCGCATAGCTTAATTTATTTCGTCAAATGAGTGGGAGAGGGCACAATATCTTGAGCACCCGCATATTCTTTTTTTAGAGAAGACAGAAATATATTTCGTTGAACTTATTCGTCTTGCACAATGTATTTTACTTCATGTTCACAGCTTTTAAGTGCACCAAGGAGACTTATATTCTTACCTAAGCTAGAAACAATTAAACATGGTAGAAATAAAAGAAATAAAATATTCCAGATACTTGAGTCGCTTAACAACACGGGGCTGGAAAATTTCCGCACGTATTCCTGCCTACGGCCACATTTTCGCATCCAATAAGTTCACGTGTTGCTGTGTGCTTCACCCTCTGCGACAAGACCAGCCTATTAAAATGTCGTAGCGGATTCCCCCCGTGCCGCCGCTCATGTGTCTTTAAGAGCACCGTTTGTTCCTCAGAGGTTGTTTCTTTTCAACTGAGAAGTAATGTCCTACTTCCGAACTCGAGGCATTCTCCGTCGCATGCTCTGCGCATGTTGCCATTCAGGTCCTGACTCACCAGGTGCACTGTCATCCTGTTTCACAAGCCCATCATCTCCAAGATCCTGTGTATATTTCGGATCATATTCCAGCTTCAATTCTATATTCATGCGCACAATAATGCCCGACTCGACATTAATCACTGACGTGTCATTTTTATGAGGACCAAGCTCGAGAACTTTTTGGGACATCTACATGAGTACCCGGACATTCTCGTTCCCATTTTAACGTTTTCGGCACCACTTTAAAACCATTTTCTTGGCCTCATGTTCATGGTTACTAGAGTGTTCACTCCCGGTTTATATAAGTTCCTACTATAAGCTCTCGCAGACTCCACTGACATTAGCAAATGCCGCGACTGGGACTTCCACTGGGATTTCAACTTGCCCCAAAGACAAGCAACCACAAGCTTCTAACCATTCTTCTCCTCTTGAGGGATGGAAAATATTTTGTTTTGGAACTAAGAATCACTTCATGTCTTCACCTGATTGCATTGAGTTCATGGAATAAAGTGTGGGCAAATTTCAAACCTGCCACCACTTTTTGCCTCTGCTTCGGAACAAAGGATTTTACTTCGGTACGGCCCCCTTTATGGAAACCATTGCTTCGTCTATCGAATCTAGTGCAGCACCTCCTGGTACCCTATTGGGACCTACTCGTACGACCATACGCTCTATGTTATCCAAATCCTCAATTCTATCTTGACAAAAAAAAAAAGAAAAACAGCGATTTTTTGTTTCTTCTGCATCAACACATTCGCAACCTCAAGAAAAGTGTTTTTGCACAGAAAAATGCTATTCTCTAAATATTGGCTTTTCCTTCTTGTTCAGCCAACCTACGTCAGAGTGGGCCAATTCGTTCTTCCAACTCTCATTTCGCTTAAAAATTTCCTGTGTTCGTCTTCCTCCGTTCGGTCGAGAGCCCGCTCTTCAAGCTCACACTCACGTTCGTAGGCTAGTCGTTCGTTAGCCCATTTTTCTTACACTTTCCCGTGCATGCCTATCTGTGTTCCATGTTTTTGCACGCTATTCAACTTCATTGCACAGTGAATATTTCTCTGCAATCAAGCGTGTCTCGTCCTGTCCTGGACGCCAATTATGATGTTGCACGTGATTCTACATGAAATGAATCCCACGAGACTCCTGAGGGCGTTAGAAACCATTCGCTGTATAAAAAAGAAAATAATATTTATTTATATATCTACACCGGGCGGCGAATCGGCATTAGGGCGTCAATTCTAAGGGTTCGATGTGGAGGAGATCACGGGTTGCAAGTTTAGTGTCCTGGTCGAAAGCTGTTTGCAGCTGGGTTTGTGTTGATTATGGTAACCAGAGGGAGGTGTCATGGATATGCCATTCGTCGGCCTGTCAATCAGGTGGCCTGCGATGTAGCGCCGGAACCTAATAGGGGTGATGGCTTTTGTTGCTGATTGCCCCGCGCTCATTCGGGACGACCTCTGACAGATCGACGCCTAGACTCCTAGGACGTATCAATGCTGAGCATCTCGGGGCCTGGGTGTCCCGACGGAGTAGCCAGATACGGCGTGCACGTGTAAGCTCGAAGCTCATGAGAGGTCGAAGCGTTATCGATGAAGGAAGCTTGCGCTGGAGGCGGGAGCGCCGAAGGGCTTACATGCCGTTCTTATCCTCTCTCTAGCTGTAGTCCATGTCAACTAGGGTGGCGTGCCGTGGCACGCCGCCTTGGGTATTGCCGCTTTGAGGTGCTTCTTGTTCGGTGTTTTCGGCGTCCTGAGTTTTAGGCGAGAACGCCATACGCCCGGGACTGGTGGAGGGATGGCAATCGAGGGTATGTGATCCATCCTTTTTCGTGGACCCTATGTGACCCTCTAAGTAAAACTTGGGTTATGGCTGTTCCCCGATTTGGTAATTGTCGCGGCGAAAAGGGGGTTAAAATCTTCGGTATAGGCAAAGACACGTGAGTCCCCGCGTCAATACTCACCTGAACCGGATCGGCCTGTCCATTTTCTTCTTCGGCTCGAAATCCACATCCGCGCGTTTCTGCCCGTTTCAATTCCGACACGCCGCATTTGGAACGACGAGAAGCACTCTAAATAATTTGCTGCCGGAATGTCGAGTGAATGGAAGCGCTTTGCCTGAGCTTTCTCGGTCGTAAACCTCTGGGGAGCGAAAGAAAATAAAACCTTCACATTGGTGTTCGTAACTTCTCTTTTTTGTGCCTCCGTCGAGTTTTTAATTCTTCTCGTCGGCCTTCATCTTCTCCAGAAAAAAAATCATCTTCTTTATTTGGGGGGGGGGGGGGGGGGGGGGGTTACGGTTACATTGCGAGGGAGGAAGTGTACGATGTCAGGAAGTACAATCACGACTTAGGACGGCGGATTACGAATTCTTTTTATAGACCTATAAATAAGGAGCTTACGACTGGTTCGAACGGCCTTGATATGGAGCTTCGACATTGATAAACTGTACAACAAGACTCACGTTTATCATCGCGTAAACAGCCTACAAAATTCTCCAGATCTTGGATTCACTTTTGCAGCCGTATTTTTTTTTATGATTGTCAACCATTGTTATTTGGAACGTATTCATATACAGAAAACAAATAATGTTTTATGTGGCTTCAGTAGACGGTTATGCAGAGCAGTATTAGCATAGAGCGCTCCGATTTCTCGACACGCGCGCGCGGTTGAGGAAACTTCTAAGGATCTACGAGCACATTTCAACCGAATCCAACATAATTTCTTTCACTTGAAAGCGGTAATTTATTCGAGTTCTATTCAATTTAAAAGGGTTTAAATTTTCATACTCTGTATTACAATAGCTTGTTCAAAGAACCCCTTTTTATACTGGTATCGTTCAGATAGTTTAAACACCATGCGAGTGTGACGACGTCACGTTGATTGGTACGAAAACAGTGGTTTATTAACTTTTATATGTTTTGCCCGTGTTTCGTGTTTTTCAGACGTTTCGAACGCTAATTGCGTCTTTATCTTTTGACTCGTTTCAGGTATCCGTCTTCTGAAGAGGGCAAGGGACACGCGGCCGTCTTCTGAGCGGCGTCGTTGATGGAGCCGGACATGAGGCACCCTCCGCGATGGAGGAACTCCTTAAGAAAGCTACCGAGGTCTTTGTTCTTCGCCCGGATCCTGGCTTTCTTCTTCCTCCTACAAGTTTCGTCATGTCAAAGCACGCATGCGAGTAAGTAGCGCACCTTCGACGTGCTGCAACTACGTTCTGCATTCTGTGACAAATCAAGTGTAACTCTGCAACACTGTTAGCGCGGAGAAGCCATCTTCGGTTTTCTCTGTTTGTCTCTCAATATCGAAGGGCTGCCACAAAAAAAAAAAAAAAAAAAAAAAAAAAAAAAACTGCCTAATGCTGTAGTGTGGTCAGCATGAAGTGATGACCTAAGTGGTGAATTTTGATGCCCACCACGACACTTCCAAATGCGAAAAGAGCGACCAAGTCGCGTTTGCGTTAGCACTGTAACGCATGTGTATAACCATGTAACTCTATCGTAGAAAACTTGTCAGCAAACAAGTTTCGTTTTATCTTCTTTTTTTTGGATAGATCCGAAGACCATACATCATTTCAGGGCTATGCGTACCTCCACCTAACTTCAAATATAAGTGGAACTCAAACTAAAGTCCCGCGCTCCTGCCGTCAGTAGATCTCCCTGCTCGTGGCGCAGTTTCTAAAGGTCTCCCCTTTTAACTCAATTCCATTACAGTACTTTCGTTTTATACGAATTATGGTTAATCCGCCTCGTTTATGGCGTGGTGTTCAGCGAGAATTACTTTTCTCCCACTGCTTCCGCCACGATTCAATCCAACGTGTGCACCTAAAGCAGGCCGTCACGTATATTTCTTCCGATGTAACTTTCTGTGCTAATCGATAAAAAAAAAAGAAAAAAGAAAAGAATAATCTGGAATGGTTTCAAGCAGTCTGCCGAACACGAATAGCAGGGCCACCCTCCTGAGATACGCCCTCTCTGCTTCTCTGTTCTTCCCGACCATTGAAGAGATAACTTATTCTTACCGCAAAATTTAATGAAAGTTGTCATATATACATATATATATAATTTTAGAAATCATCCGACGGGTTTTACTAAACGGAGATATTTATGAGCGTGTCTTATTGCATATATTTGCTTAAATCTGGGCCAAGGCAGATTTCTTTTGAGCTAATGCTCAAAATAATATCCAGCTTAATTTGATTGCTGCCTTTTAAGGTCATGGAGGTCTGTGGCTATAATTCTTGGTGATCTCAAGAGTCTAGCTCAAAAGTATAAAACAAACTTGAAACAGACCATGGTCTTTACTCCTTTCACCGATTTGCATTTAATTTATTTACCTTGAGCACCCGTGTCCGGGTATTACACGAGGGAGTGTAAGAAGACACTTGTTTAAACTGGAAAGTTAGGAAAACAACACACACAAAACAAATCGTAGGGATGTGAAATGGCAATAACAAGTAGAAAAATCACTATGCAAATTTATAACTCGTTCACTTGATTAAAAAAAAAAACACTGACAAGTTCACGAAACTTAGATCTGTTAATTTTTAGTACATTGTCGTTGGGTAATGAATTCCAATCATCACTAGCAGGAGGTAGCATGTAATTTGCGAAAAACAAAGATGAAGTGTGCATAAATTAGATGTTACACACATTGCCAACCCTAGCAGAAATTCGATCTGGGACGCTGAGAAGGGCCATTTTCATCTGCGGATTGGTATACTATATTTTATAAAGAAGAGCAAGTCGGTAGAGCCTTCGACAAAAAGCAAGTGTTTGGAGATCAGCCCGATTGCGAAGTGAAGTGATACGGGTATAGGAGGAGTAGTCGGAGGTGCGGTGGATGTTACTTGCTCCTTGGACGAGTGCCACGCGATCACCCTTTCCGCGAATACTATCGCGCAGAAAGTGGGATCAGGCGATAGTAGGGAGGCGACCGACTGAATTCGGGAGAACGCACGTTCAATTGACTTGTGAGCGGAATGTGGCAATTGTACCTTTATATGGTCGTGATCGTCAACCGTTGAATGATGATTTGGGTTGGTTTTCTAAGTTTGGTGCACACGCTTGCGTTTGGTTGCAACCGAGTGCGTTCTGCAGCCTTTTTTATTACTTTCCACGAGAAAACGCCATCTGTTGGGCTTCACTGAAAATCCTTCAATTTGATATTTGATATTTGATATTTTTGGCACCATTATTTCAGCCTGGACGTGGAAAAAAAAAAAAAAAAAAAGCTCGAAAAAGTTACAAAAGACCATTTGTTTCATAGATAGAGTGTACTATCGCGGACAATATGAGCTGAAACAGCGCTCCGGCAGGCGCGCGGTACTACCTGCGCCGCCTGTCGAGTTGCTCCGCACACACTGAGGCCGAGATAAATTAACACTTGAGCTCGCTGCACCACTGCGCCCTCCCGGCCGTCTGCTAGCGAGACGGCGTGAGCGACAGCGGGCGTGTGTGTGGTAGGGCGGCAGGAAGAGGGGGGGGGGGGGGGGGCTTACAGCTGAAGATTACAGTGATCGTCCCTCTTTTGCAATTGTTTTACTTCGTTCTATTACGCAGAATTACGTAGAAAAGACGGATTCTGGTAAAAAAAAATGTCGCGGTGTCTTAAATTGCAGCTGCGATTATCGTTTTTGAAAATCACATTAAAGACGTTGCAGGTTGGTTTTCTTTCATTAAGTCCATGCATAAATTAGGACATCGTAAAATATTGGCCATAGCTGTATACCGGATTCAGGCCGGCTCCGAGGTATTTATTATTTGTTTCTTCTTTTTCATGGAGCACAGCTGTTTAAAAAAAGGTAACCATACTTGTTACTGCGAAGGTTTGGTACCCTTGAGGGGTACAAAAAGGTTCATAAGTATTATTTCTTTGTTACTATGCCCACGTGTTTGTTTCATACAAAACAACTTGCTGACAAGACAGCAATTTTTATTTGCCAACACCTAGTCTGAGTAAAGTGTGGCAGACAGTCATGCATTTGGCAGGAGAAGGAGCTTGAAACATCATCGAAAGAATATTCGCAGAGGACAATGCCACACACGGGATTAATAGTCGGCGTGGAAGTTCAACTGCACTATACACCAGGCACGTAGCCAGGGGGGAGTGGGGGGCATGTGGCCCGCCCCCCCCCCCCCCCCCCCCCCGAAAAGTTCCATTTTGCTGGGACCCCCCTCTCCCCCTTCCCTCTCATACAGCCTTTTGCCATGGGCGGGTCCCTCCCGAAATAAAATCCTGGCTACGTGCCTGCTATACACGAAGATTAGGATCGTAGATGCACCACACAAAAGTATGCGCCGGTTAACGGCGTCAATAGTGTGTCTCAACCGTAGCAGAAAACTTTGTTCCAATCGGCAGAAGACCGATTCAGGGATCCCTGAGGCGCAAGAACAGTTACGAAAGATGTTAATATCGCGTCATTCTGCCCTAACAGGCGACCACGCCTCTCATCCTCTCCGGTAAGAAATTGTAGAGCGCGGAAGCAAAGTCTGGCTCGGCCCGAAGCCTCTCCCATTCACGTCTCACCGCTTCCCACAATTCGTCGGCAGTGGCGCGGTAGAGGGGACGCAGTAGCATGGCTACCTTGATGCGCTATAAAACGTGTTTGATGATATTAAGATCGGCACCTTTTGGGGGCCCAGGCAGCTCCGTCAGGCAGCGCTCCTCGAGGAGATACGAGCGTGACAACGGATTTTCCGCTTCGGCGCTTTCATGAAATGCAATGTAATGCATGTTAGCCGGAAACATGAACATTGGGCTGCACGGCACACGCATCGTAATGGTGGTTCCGTCGGCGAATATTTTCGCTAGCAGACGGCCGGAAGAGCGCAGCGGCGCAATGCGTGCAAATGAAAATTTATCTCGGCCTCATGGTGCGCCGTGTTTGCAGAGCGGTGCGACAGGTGGCGCAGGTAGTACCGTGCAGAGGCCAGAGTGGTGTTTCAGCTCATATTGTCCGCGATAGTACATTTTATAACGTAAATAGTGCGAATCCTCCTCTCTAGTGAAATAGGATTGCAGGGTTACTTGATAGATGTCGCCTGCGTGCCAGTGTGTCTTTTCGTCATAAGGCTGAACAGCGCACTCGATTGCAAGCAAACGCAAGTGTTTGAAGCAGCCTCACTTTTCTGGCGTGGTATCTTGTAGCTTTAGTCGGAGTAATGAAGGATTTAAATCAGCTTGATATTGGTTAGCTCTACAACCGCTGTGGAAATATTTTACTCAATACTGCGTTTCATCTTACGATAGACGACCGTGGATGCTACAAGCCATCCTAGCCAATTCAGCGCTTCAAAATTATCACGTGACTACACGCCCCGCCCGCCGCTGCGCCCCTCCCGAAGATCGTTGGATAGGCTAAAATGGCTCGTACCGTCCTTTGCGGTTCATCGACGTACGGCGGATCGGATGTTTGCAAGCAGCCATGCTTCGAAAACTAGTCTGGCCACCGTGGATGGTAGATGCTTTGTTTAGACGCCAGTCTCGCGATTCCGGGCATGCCTTAGCAAGACGCTTCAGGCACACGATCTAAACACAAAAGTGCAACGTGGAGGCACCGAGAGGTTGTACTTGGAAACGTCTGCAGCAGTGGGCTCCACTGCTCGTCTTTTACTTTCGCCTCCTTAGGGCTGGGTTTGTTCTTTGATTAGGACGACGCCCCGACCTGAACACTAGCAGAAAAGATTGACCTCGAGACGACCAGTAATTAGGAGTTCCCTAACGACGACTTCCTTCCGTTCCTCTGTTTTGTCCTTTTTAGGTCCGCGCCCACAGCAGCGGTTCGCCATCGAGCCCACAGACCGGTCAGCCATCCTGGGTGACACTATTGTCCTGGCGTGTCGGGTGATCAACAAAGCCGGCACGCTACAGTGGACCAAGGATGGCTTCGGCCTGGGCAGTGATCGCGACCTCTCGGGTTTTCCAAGGTACTCTATGGTTGGAAGCGACGACGAAGGTGAGAAATCCTACAACGACTCCTCAAAACACCACTGTGCTAGAAAGCCACTGGAGCTCAAAAGTAGCACTTTGAATTTTTATAGTTATTGAATATCTAGGTTTTGACTACACAGTAGGCTTATTAAATAATGGACTAGGAGGAGTATATTTCCTATAAAGCGAACAATTTGTTATTTACGTAAGTCTATTTTTTTTCTAAGCAGTTGCTGTAAACGAAAACCATTGTAGCTGAAAACTGCGACTTTTATTTATATATTTAGTCAAACATGTTGGCTTGCACTCAAACATTAGGCTTACTCGAATACATTTGAACTTAATATTTGGCAAATAAATAAAATCCTGTCTTGAGAAATTAGCACGTCCGACATTTTCCTGGAATACTTGTCGCATTCGGGTGGTGCGAGCGTGTTACGTGGCTCATACCTCCTAATCTTCGTGTTTGCAACGTGCGAGTACAACCGTGGCTATGTCAGAAAGAAACGTGATGTGTGTGGGAGCAACTCACGTCACACGGCTTCCGTTTGGTAACGTAACCAGAAAAGGAGAAACGGGATTCTCAGCTTCCAGAGACGAGACGAAAATAAATGGTTCAGAAATCTCGCACCGAATTTAACTTACTCTACAAAACAATAATGCTTAACCTAGAACAGGAGCATCGTAAGACACTCGCAGCAGTCCAAAACATAGCGCTAACGTAACTGATCAAGTAAGGCTAGACACTTTGGTCGGTCCCCACCCGCCCCCCCCCCCCCCCCCCCCCCCCCCCCCCCCCCACTCCGATATGCAGTTCAAGCATTCGGGAGGTGTTTCAATATAGAAGAATCGAGGCAGAATATGATTCTGCCTCGATTCTTCTTTTCTTCTTTTTATTTTTTATTTAAAGCTTTGACACCGTGTTCGTCAAAGTGTACATCTGCGCGGCACCTACTTCTTTTAGTGATAATGTTCCTTTTTTTCTTTTTCTTTGCCATAGGTGACTTCTCGCTTCAGATCGGTAGCGTAAGCCTGGAAGACGATGCCACATTTCAGTGCCAAGTGGGCGCCGTTGACGGCGTCAAAGGAATCAGGTCAAGGAGTGCACCGCTGACTGTATTCGGTAAGGCGTCGTGCTTTAATAAACTTCTTGCCATCTGATAATGTTTAATTACGGAACAAAAATGAACGATATATTTCATATCATTTACACCGTTTAGCCTGTATGAAAAGAAGTGAAAATTTTCGTTGCTGTTCGATGTCCTTTCAATATATATTGTGACACTGACTAATTTTCTGTTAGAAAGTTTGTCTGGTAGTCTTTTGACTTGGGCACGCTTAAGCGCGTTTACGCGAAGTTAGAGTTACCCCGATATCCTTGCGAACTATTTATGTAGTCAAAGCTACTGGCGCACGTGCACTTGCGCAGCGTTAGCGCCCATAAAACTCTGCACGCGCATTTTCCACTTCTTCAAATATAGCTATCCAAGAGTGTAGTGTGGCAACTCTGGTTGAGCGTGACTGCAGTTAGGGGAACTTAACCGCTCTGAAGGGTTCCCGTGTAAGAAGGGTATTACAGAATCGTCTGGCGATTGCTTATAAATTACGTTCGTTTGTACGCAGGTACGAAGGTTAGCGGCTAGCGTCCCTCGCGACTTTTTCGATAAGCACTCTGTATTAGGCGTCGACAACACTGCATGGGGGCATAATGATAATCGTGTTATGTGTGTGTTTCTAGAGTCGAAATTTAGTCAGGCTTAATGAGCGCCTGCTATCTCAGCTGTAGATGAGTAATATAGCCAGTGGAGTGCGACTGCTCGCCTGAGATATTTAACGTGCGCTACGCAATAGTAATGCACGACCGCAGGCGGTGCGATGCTCATCCAAGTCGAAATGGGCAGGGGTGGAGATTAAACCCGGGATCTCTGGATTTTTCAGCGCGAGCTTTCGGTACATTTGCTCCAAGCTAAAGTGCGCTAACCCAGTCGGCCATGGATCCCCCCCGCATGGGGGTAGTGGTGGCGAAAATAATGTTTAGTAAATGAGTTGTTAACATAAGAAAAAGAGCGGGGCCAAGAACGGCATAATAATAGTATAATATTACCACACCTCTATTTTTTATGCGACAAAAAAAAACAACAAAAAAGACGACAATAGATTAAAAAAAAGTGAAAGGGGCACCGCAGTTTCAGGTTCGACGGATGTAAAATCATATAGTATCACTCGTTGTACTTTAGTACTTCAACGGTGAGCAGGGGGTCCCTCGAAGCGGCTTTACAAAACTCTTGCGATTCTCAATAAACGCACAGCAAATTCGATCTTTAGAGAAGGTAGGCAGGTTTCCCTTCACTTTTGAACATTTAACTGCGAATACCTCTCTTCCAATGCGTTGGCACTAGTGCCCACATGACAAGGAGAAGCTCACTGCGTTCATCCGTGGAGAAAACAATGGAAAGGGAAGCGCTCCGCGGTGAGAGGAAGAGAGTAGTGAAGGACGATGGTAAGAGGGATGCGATGTAACGTGGCGGAAGCCAATGCAGGCGCGGATGCTGGGGCGACTCTGGAGTTGGGGGTGTGCGGAGCCGGTATACCTCGTGTTGCGTTACAACCATTAAATTAGGGAATTAGGGAATGCCTTAGCATGACCCTTGGGGAACGCCACACACATCCCTCTTTGGGAAACGCTAACAGTGACCCCGTAACCAAGCCAATTCGAGACAGCAAAAAAAAAAAAAAATATATATATATAGGAAGCAAAAGAGGAAGCCAAAACAGAAAACTGTAGGGGTCACCTTTAGCGTTTCCCAGTGAAGGACGAGTGTGGCGCTTTCCAGGGTTCACTGTAAATTTCTCTAAGAATCCACCAAGAAATGTTCGTTTACTTTCTTGTTTGTCGTGCGTGCTAGAAGTTTGTGACAGATCATGTTTGCAATAGGCTTTGCGATACGGAAGTGTTTAAAACAAGCATTAAACGTAAACGAGAAACGCTGATACGGCGAACTTCAAAGGGAACGAGTCTCCTCTTTCCGCGCATTGGTCATACTGTTAGTAACCACTTGGGGAACGTGCGGCGAATCCCTACCGTCTGATGATCGCCCTTCAGCAGAAGCGATGGCGGCGTTGGCTGATAAGTAAACTGAACAAGAAATCACAAAACACGAAGCGTAATGACTGCGTTTCTTGAACTGTTTGTGACTATAGTTGTGATAGTGCCTGCGTCGTCTCCAGAAAGGCAGTCTTCAAATGCTTGACCCATCAGCTACACCGATGGTGCGTCTTTTTTTGCCCTTCGTAAACTCCCCCTAGATCATTTTAACAGCTGGGCTTACTAAATCACAAGTTTACGTGAGAACCTATCGAGTCAGTGCAGCGGTTGCCCTCCGCCGACGCTGACTTTATTTGCTCAAGCGGAAGATCCTCCGCTGGATTGCAGCACCAGCGAAGACTTTGTCGCGGACAAGTAGGGTCTCGCTGATCCGCCACCGAGCGGGCAACGGTGATGAGTGGGCGACGCTCGCGCCCGGGCTCACGCGCTGCATTATGCACGCGCCGGGGATGCCATCGCTCTTCCTTAAGACGCAGGTGTTGCAGCCGCTAATTCGCCGCGCAGGTTTCGCACCCGAGTCTTCGTGTGGACTCGCCCGCAGTACCGCACCTTCATTATGCGCGAAGAAAGGGAGCTTAGTCAAGCGAGAGCAAAAAGGCGCCACTGTTCCTTTTCTGCCTTATCTTTTGCAAGCATGATTTTCTTCGTGTAGTGAGAAGAACAGAAGAAAGTGCAGTAGGGGGGTGTTCTTTTTTCGCCTGGCTCTTGGTGGCCGCGTGAGCGCGCCGTGACTAACGTTCATTGGAGTTAGACCCTGATCCAAGGAAAGCAGCGTCGTCACGCCTTGCTGTGGAAGCCAGTTTTTTTTTTTTTTTTTTTTTTTTTTTTTACATTTTCAGAGATTGGGCATGTTTTCGCCGGGAGCATTAGGTTGTGGAGTTGGCGAAGTTGGCTCTTTGGGGGCCACAAGTCCGGATGACAACAGAGGATTACGCTCTCTAATCCCGGGTCGTAAAATAGGGCCGAAGGACTTGGCACTCGCGCCAGACGATTAGCAGAAATGACGCGTGACTTTGCGGCCAGGGCACTCCGTTTTGAGACGCACCTTCTCCGGCCAGGTCTAGAGGGAATTAAGGGTGCGTGGGCTCCCGCATAATTATGAGACTGCCTTTAATGGGGATGACAGCCCTGCACGCGAATGTTGGGAGAAAGAAAGGGGACTGAAAGTTTGGCCTTTGGTCTACACACATTGTGTGCGTTAGGACTCGTTGAGGGTCGCGTGCGCCGCTCGCTTTACATGATATTGGTCTGACTGGGGAATGCGAATAAAACTTATTTTCCGATTCTTAAGCGGATCCTGTGCTCAGATGCGGTGCAAGAGGCACATACTGTCTTATGAGACGCTTTTTTTGTGATACTTTAAACAAAGAGGATCTTAGGGTCGATAGAGGCATCCATGGTCATGTTGTGGGATGCATTCTTTTCCCTATTTGACATTTCCTCTTATTATTAGATAATCCCGAACGGGAATTTCTGAAGAGATAATTAAGATAGAGTATACGCAATCTTAAAAAGGTTGCGAGGGCGCACTTTAAAATAAAAGTTTAGGCTTTCGATTAAGGCGGGCATTCTTACACTTTCGGTTGGACCCTCAAATATACAAGCAGTTATTTTTTTGTTTGGTTTTTTTTTTTTAATATAGCTTTGTATTATTGAATCGCAACAGAAGCATTCGTCGCTAACTACAAACTTAAGAATAAAATAAAATAAAACACAATATTTCCGTGTAACCAATGCCCCGAGTTTTAGATTAAAAAAATAAAATTTTTCTTTTTGTTTCGATCTATACTGGACAAACGTTTGTTGCCTTCAGCGATCCCCTCGCGTGACCACTCACGCTGGGCAACGATTAAGAGAAAGGAGTAAATATGTCGTGGTAGTTAATTCCCGGGGTCTGCAGCCCGCAGCCAAACTTTTAATGTCCGCCACAAAGTGACGAAAGCAGCGCCGAGACGTCTCGCAGGGGAGAGATTTAGAGCCTGCGCATGGTTCTTAATAGGTCCCCCTGGAACCGTTTTTCGCTTCATTCGGCGCGCTGTCTTCGTTCTGTCCCTGGCCCTAGCACTCTTGTGTTTATCCGTTTCCTTTCCTGAAAACGGCCTCTTGTTGGCACACTGCCAGCACCAAAAAGCTCTTCGTCAGTTCTCTTTTTTTTTTTTTCCTACGCTCTTTTTATGATTGCCATATTACGCTCCTTTATTCAACAAAACAAAACTTTTTTTTTTTTTTTGTCAGGAATTTGTTTTGTTAGATGTACTTAACTCTTTGAATCGGCTTTCGATGGTATCGAACTTGGTACTACTTGTGCACTGTTTCTTTGTTATTTTAAACACCCTGCCTTATTTTTTTGTCTTTTGAATATAGAGTTTTCAAGTAAACTTGCAAAACGACGAGCTCGCAGGCGATCTTAATTATGGCAGGATTATACCTCTTGCTGTCAGAAACGGGGCTAATTGTCTTGTTAACTTTTACCCTGTATGCTCGACATTTTGTTTCCCTGTTAACGGTTGTTCAGAATGGTTTTAAAGGAAGTTACGAGAGCGCCTATCCTTAGTAAGGCCGTCAGATCTCGTGAAATATTAGTGACAAGGAGGATTATCAGTACTCAGCTCGCAGACAAAATCTAAAAAAAAAAAGTCTGATATATTTTTTTTTTTTTTTTAAGGACACGGGAGCGGGTATTAACGAACAACATCGACGAGATCCCAGTGAGCAAAGAAAGCTAAAATACGATGATATTTGAAACACGCCAATTCCGCTGGGATTTTAAGCGATTGAACCATCGTGCTCATCAACCCCACGCACATCGCCTCTTTTGCGTTCAATTGTACTATGATATTTTTAATTCGGCTTTATTTATATTCAAATGAAACCAGACACATTTCTTTTTTTTTGTTTGTTGAGGGTGGAGTCGTTATTATTATTATTATTATTTGCCTTCTTCGCCATTGGATTTTCGTGTCCCGATGTGTGCGTGAATTAATATGGTACGATAGACGCACGGAGAAAGTGCATACTTATTTATTTTGTGCACGTTACTCGCAAACAAAAAACGGTCAAATAAAATGACAATTACTTTTGCTTAAAATATTAAACTATATTACTGGATTATTCAAGAGGAAAACTAATTCACCGTTACTTGAAAATATGACGTTTTATTTTCCAATTATTTCATGCTGAAATTAAAATCACCGAATTATGAAGGACCTATCTTAATAACCCCAAATTTTTGTTGAACCACCCTTTTCTCAGAGATTTAGTTCGAAAATTTTTCGATAGAAAACCCGTACGAAGAGAGCGCGCCATTAGAAACGGTGGGGAAGAAAAAGTAGCGATTACAAATAATTTGATAAACTTGCAATTATATATTACATATATATATATATATATATATATATATATATATATGTAATATATAATTATTAAGACGTTTCGAGCGGGGACCGCTTTTCATCAGGTAACTAGTGTACAGCCCGTGAATGTTTATATACCCTCTCTCTCTCTCTCTCCATGTTTATATATATATATATATATATATATATATATATATATATATATATATATATATATATATATATAGTGACCCAAGTCACCAGGTTCGATTTAAAATGGATCGTAAAAATCGACGCCTGCAACTAGCAATCTAAACTTTTCGTCAAAGGTGTATTTCACAGGTCGGTCTTCTCTTGTAAAATTACAAAGCGTAGCTCTCTTTCTGTAAAAAATACGGCCAAAAAACCTGCCAGGGTCTACGGCGGGCGGCGACGCGGACGGTCAAGTCCAGTAGAGGGGTGTGTTTGGCGTTCGTATTGATAGATGGCGCTACGACCTTACCGCGGCGGCTCATGACCACCGCGGTTTTTTTTTATTTAATGAAAATAATCTTTTTTTCAAATATAACTTTGGCTAAAAAATAAATGTGGACAACAAAATCAAAACTTAAAGGAAAGAACAAACGCCTTTGCCTAACGGGGGCGCTTTTGCTGCCAACGGATTTCGTCGGCGTGTCGTCTGCTATCCTTCGCTGGTCGGCTGCACCTTCGGACGCTGCCCCCAACGGCATCTATCAATACGAACGCCAAACACACCCCGCTACTGGACTTGGTCGTCTGCGTCATCGCCCGCCGTAAACCCTGGCAAGTTTCTTGGCCCTATTTTTTACAGGAAGAGAACTACGCTTTCTAATTTTACAAGAAAAAAACGACCAGTGAAATACACCTTTGACGAAAAGTTTATATTGCTGCGTGGAGGCGTCAATTTTTACTCTCCATTTTAGATCGAGTCCGGTGACCTGTGACTTGGGTCACCCTGTATATATATATATATATATATAATATTCAAAATAACGCCGACTGTTTTATTTTCTTCTTCATCTAAAAAAACAAGTTTTCTGCATAGGTTATATACTACACGAGGTGCTATTGATAAGATTTGCTTGTCCCAAAAAGACACTCTTTTTGCGCTTCATTCGTGCATGTAAGATAACAAAAAAACGAAATACTGATGTAAACTGTACGCTGACACACACTCATGTTTACACACACAACAAGAAACAAAAAGAAAAAAACAAAACAAAAAAAACGAGTGTTTATAGTGGCATTCTAGCGACACCGCGCATGCGCGATGAGTTGTGAGCAAGAAGCGCCGCGTCTCGCTTCAACAAACCAGTAGAATGTGATATTGTCGGTGTGAGTTTCCGTGCTTCTTTTCGGGTTGGAACTGTTCATCCTACCTATTTTTACGAATGTTATACTACTTAAGTAAACTGAGCGATATTAACGAAACTCGTTGCACCAAGAAACTTCGTGTAGAAAATGTGGCATGCGGCTATTCATTCCGTGTAAACGGTGGAAAATGAACGCTAAAGAATTATTTACACGTTAAGATTCTATTCGCGATTTCCAGTCGCAACGTCGCTTGGGCTTCGAAATCGTGGACGGTAGCTGCGATGCTCGACTTCGATACTCATAATCGCAAGCAGAATCGTGCAAAATCGATCAGACAGCACAAGTCGGTGATGGCAACTGGTAAAAATGATAAACATTTCTTTGTTTGCTATGTGTACACCGGGCCTACTTGCCCCAACCTATCTTCAAAATTAAAAGTTGTTTGAGGCCTGCACTTCCATCTTATCGGAATGTTTGATCTACTGGCCGCTGTCGGTTGAACGAGCAAACGAGAGTTTGATCGATCTGATGGCCGTCTGGACGTGAATACGCATTGGACGTGGTCTGCGCGATGTCCGGACAGCTTTTCGGTTTTTCTGTGTTCATGTTCGAACAAAACAAATAAATCTTTTGTCCACAAGTATCCGTGAATTCAACCCAAAGTGCTTCCCGCAAAAGCAATTCTCGATTGATGGTGCCTGGTTTTCCTCTTCACGCACCTATCCACCTTCTCAGACGAACCAAGCGGGCAGAAAACAGATGAAAACCGATCTCCAAACTCTTCCCGGCTCTTTTCGTACAACCCAACTCACGACGCCTTGACGATAAGGCACGTTTTAGTCCTGTTTCTTCTAAAACAACACAGAAATGTCAGTCCCGCATGGCGACTTCGGGCCACAGCCCAAAACCGGAAGTGCGCCCCTCGCACCGCCACCGCGATGTGACGTTACCAAGTTAAGTTGATGTAAGATATATAAATTTACCGCCTCAAGGAAGAAATTACTAGCACTCCGCTAGGAGCCTAACGTTTTTCACTGTAATTGGTGAACTACAAAATTCAGTATTGCAAGTATTCTTTCAGCATTCGCTGAAACGCATGAACTGAAAAGACCAGTTTTGTCGAGTATTCTTTCAGCATTGCTGAAACACACTACAAATCTTTATGTTTTGGGCAAAACCTATGAATGTAAGGTACTTTTCAGGCACACTAAAAATGGTTGGCCATGTTTTAATATGAGATATTTCAAGCGGGAATGAATTCGTCGATGAACTCGAAAAGAAAGGCATCAGCACAGCACGGCAACCAGTCAAGTGCACCACGGAAACGTCACCGTGGTTCATAATGCCATACACCTTTCCAGTTATATGAATACGTGCAACTCTAAAGTGTGGAACTTTGCGAGTAGTTAATCAGATATGACTTTTTCTGAAAGCTTAGTATTTGAATGCGTTATAATTTATTCACACGTAGTTTTGAGAGACCTAGAGGCTATGGTTTTATCAAATAAACATTAAACTCCGGATCACCAAAGGTTGTTTCCGCGCGATGGTAGTATTAACAGTTCTGTATAAGGTGTCAAATATGCGGGACTTTCTCCTTTTTTTTTTCTATGAAAGATAGAAGGGATTTTTCAAATATTTCAGCAAATAAAGGACGACCAACGGCGCTCACGAAAATACTGAAGGGATTAAAAAAAAATTAGTTAACAAATCGCTACCAACGGCCCTCGCAAATATATGAAGATAACTAGGTGTTCCATTAGAGCCGGGCTTAATTTTTTTATTAAAATTTTCAGAAAAATTTATCGTACCTTTTCAACATGGCAATGCTGATAAATGAAATTGTGGACCCTAGTACCGATTGCTAATGCAAGATTTGATTGGATAGTGAGCATTCAGCGATGCGCAGTCAACAACATAGTTTACAATTCGCTCAAACACCCTGTGCTAGTTGAGCCATTCACTTGCTGTACCAATAGTGCTCTATATTTGTATTGTATGTTGCCGAAGCCACTCACGAGTACAAAATAATGTGTTCTCATCCTCTACTTGCGAGTATTATTGTTATTAATAATATTATATTATTACTTTTGTTGTCGTTCATGGTGTAGTTCATATGATTGTTGTTATCTTTTTTTGGCAAGTAAATATACGGGGAGTTTTAGCTGGGGCTGTTTTCAGAGTGACGCTCTGTTCCCTGCAGTTCCACCGGAGCCTCCAAAGATAGTGCAAGGAGAGTTCCTGAAGACGACGGCCGGCATGACCGTCGAACTCACGTGCGAGTCGCACGCTGGAAAGCCACCGGCCGAGGTGAGTCTTTGAGCGTTGCTTGCGCGCTGTCGTACTCATTTAGTACTCTCACCGCTGTCGGGTTTTTACTCTGTGCCAGTTAATTACATGCTTAGAATATGTCCTAATCTAAAATGTGGACAAAGTAAGAGGAAACGTTACATTGGGGCCGGAGGTACAAGGGGGCGCTTCAGAAAGAATTACTACTCTTAGGTGCCTGAAAGCGCGCGTGTTTTGTGCTGTACCATCAAAAAAACAATATATCTGCTTCACAGAGACCTTTACTGAACCGTCAATAAGCGCTTGCAAATGCTGTGAGTCTCTGAAGAAGAACAAACTTGTTTAGAGAATCTCGAAGTCTTCAGGACTGTTGTTACGGTGGCTTTCTTTGACGAGGAAAAGATGATCACAACCCGCGCATGCACACACCCGTTTTGTGAAGTTGGCTGTATTGGGATGCTAAATGGGCAGATGTTTACACCTGGACGAAGGTATTCGAGGGAGGCGGGATTGCTACGGCGCTCATAGAATTTTCGAAACTTCTTGGAGCACTGAAAAAGCATGCGTGTCCGGAATTGCAAAGGCGCAATTCCGGAGACACCGATGGCGGCTAAATGGATGCATTTTCTTATTTTATTTTTGTGTGTTTTATGGCATATATAGTTTTTCGGAGCATTTAAGAAATCATTAAACAAATAAAAGCTCTTTTTGGTGAGTCTGTGCGCGACGAAATGAATGAAACTGGACTCTAAGCTTAACTTTAGGTAGTGTTTTCACGCCGCAAAACACTCAGCCACGCCATCCTACGGAACTCTTAACTGTTGAAACTATTTGATCATACATGGTCACCGAAAAGCGTGGGTATTCCCCGCTCACAACATGCTGTGATACCAAGCCTGGTCAATCGAACAACATATTTTTCCTACCCCACGGTGCCGGGTTATTTAAATAAGGTTTAATTTAGAAAGATGTCAAATGACACGTCATATCTAAGCTACAGTGTTGATGACAGTCACTTTTCGACGATCGGACGGAATCTGTACTCATTTTAGGCAACGTTTTGAGGAGAAGTTTTTTGCACAGTACCGAAGAAAAGGAACGGATGTGTCTGTTTATTCCCCTACTCCTTGAACCGGATGGGTTATTTTTCACGAAGATCACGAAGGTTTTCCGGAGGTTATCTCAGCGGAGATAACTCTGGAAGTACATCGAACTTCGCGGGCGGTTTGACGTTTCTCTCTTTTCGTTCGTTGGCTCCGAACGTTGAACTGGCTACCAGCCTGGTATTCTCCGGGTTTTACAGTGGAAGACACTGTAAAACCCTCAGTCTGCGTGAGCTCATAATTTTCGCGCATTTCGCGAGATGTAAATTTAACGAACTTCAATGGGCGCGAATATATATTTTCTTTTTGCCTGTCGAGGCGAATTCCATCCAGCCTTTAAAAATCACAAAATTTAATGGTCGCGAACCCCAGTGCCCGATTTGCGGAAAGTCAGGGCCGCGAAAAGGAAGGATTTTACAGCAATACAAAAGGGGCAAGCATGCGGAATATTCTAATAAATGGTTAAAAAAAAAAAATAAAGGCCGACGAACTTCGAATGCACAACACAGGTGGAGAGTTGGGGTGACCGAGTTTCCGCCATGTAGAAAATATTTGCGACTAAAAAGCTCGCGAGAGTGGCACGTCGAGTTCTGGAAAGGTGTATATTCAGTGCATCAATACTTTTAAATAACTGTACTCGGCGTTCGTTGATGCGGTAGGCAGAGTTAACTCTTAATATAGCCAGCAGAACTAGCCCTTGGCACCCTTAGCAGTTAGGCGTTGTTCATACCTACCAAACCGCGAATAGCTTGTAAAGGGCATGGCGTTTAGGGAACGTCATAATCATAAACTAACCATGTTAGAAAGGTTTACTAAAAAAAGGGCATAAATTACCATGAAAAAACGTCTCAGATGCGGCGCTAAGCCGCAATATTTTGGGCAAATCTATGCTTAATATTTTCAAAAGATATCTCAACCCGTTGACATGAATGGCGGTATCATTATTTCTTTTAAAGATTTTAACTTTTTTTTTTTTTTTTTCAATTGCTATTTTGAGCAGGGTGTCGAACCGGAACCGAACCGAACCGAAAACCGGAACAGAACCGTTATTTTTAGCCAAACCGGAACTGAACCGAACCGAAATCTTTGCCGCCATCTTGGAACTGAACCGGAACCGAACCGAAAAAAATATAACGGTAACCGGTTCAAAACGGTTCAAGGTAATATTTCTTTTTTGTCTCTTCTGTTAGTATTACAAAATGAACATATGTGAATAAAAAATTGGCGGCTGTATTTCTATCTATGGATCAAATCGTCATATACAGAACTGAAAAGTATGGTAAGTTGTGGGTTTTCATGACACTATGATTAACCATGTGTCACGTTGTCACGTGACGCCATGGTGTCAATACATGTTATCACGTGACCTCGTGACGTCACGTGACTCACTGCATCAACTCGATTTCATTTGAGAAAGTCACTATATTTATTAACATTGTTGACAGCATGACGTAACATGATATCACGATTTCGCAACGAGAGTCACGTCACACCGTGACGTAAGCGATTTTCATAACCCCTAGTCGATCGCTCTGGTTCATGAAAATCAGCACCGCCAAACATTCGGGTGACGGCTCATGTCAATTACTAATGATAATAGCCCAACCCTGACCATATCTGAAGCTCGGCCCAAGCTTTTGCTTTCCAAACCCTAGCCGCCTAGAGCATGACTGTGATCAACACTGGCGGTAGAGGAGATATCGACAGCTGTCTCTTTCTTTTATTTTTTCTGCATCTGCTATTAGGGGAAAACTAATGGATGTTTCCTCAAGCTATCAACGGTGGGGTTTATTGCTTAACGCTATTTATTGAAAGTATAAGAAAAAATGTTGCAAGACCCATTTTACACTATTGAGGCACCCAAATATTTTTTTCGTTGTTGCTGAACTGCATCCGAAAGACGTCCCTGAGAATAGAAGTACTGGAATTACTAAATACGACTTATTAATATGACGTTACATAGAACTAAACGTTTGTAAGGAAAGAATTAAAAAAATAGGATATTTTAGTGACCTCAGAGAGACAGCCGAACGTTGGCAGTCGCTGTAAGTCTCACACAAGCGTCGTTCTAAAGTTATTGCACAAGTTTCGACTCTTTCTGCACTTTGCTTAAAGGAGCTATAAAAATATTTCTATACATTACTAAATACTACTCAGGATAACTCCCTAACGTAATAACTGCTTGAACTTGGCTTTGCTCGTTTTTTTAGGCAATGGCAGTCGCCAAAAAATTCGAAAAATATGAGCATCGTTCATCTCCTCAACTCGGAGCCAGAAGCGGCCACGAGGCCTGGTGCCTATCTTATGCCGCCAACGTTAATCATACCCCCGCGCTGGAATTTTAAAGGAAGAAAACGCGTGCTCAGCTCCAGGCATTGTTAGAGTTTGGCTATCTTCATCACCGCAGTGGTTGGACACGAGCCACTACCCAAATGCCTGCCAAGACATTGAGTGTTACGAGCCGATGTACAGTGCTCACGCAGTCCTCCTGTCCAATCCATGAGCCAACCTCGACTGTCGTCAGGCGGGTGGTTATGATTCTACAATAGCGACATCAAGCAAGCAGGGAAGGCAAGACTAAAAGAAATAGTCTCATTTAATCCTCGCAATTTCACCGCGACAAAGAAGCTTCTGAATTGGTGGTGGCCTGTGCGAGTATACTTGGGCCAGAGGACCAGTACGCCTCGGAAAAGTCATGAACATTCCAACCCGATGTCGTTTTACGACCTATCTAAACTTCACGTGGTGCAAAATAAAAGCAATGAAGGGTTGCGGTTAACAAGTGTCAAATAAAATTGTCGAATGAACACACACAAATGGAGGAGGCAATTCCTCAGAAATACTTTCAGCCTTTCCACTGTGGCGACGAAGGAAGACCAGCGAAGCTGTACTGTCGTGGGAATGAAGGAATGGCCGCCCGCAAGTCGGCAAGCCCGAGTGGAAAGGCTGGACAGCTACCGCTATCTATGAGCGAAGGTGGCAACCAGACAACCGACAAGTCGGTTGTCTGGTTGCCGTCGTCATTTATAGATGGCGGTAGCTGTCCAGAGTTTAGTGTCATCATTTGCTTGCTGACGGTCACGACACTGAGGAAGCTAGCCCTTAACAGCTCTGCTCTATAAAGAAGTGCGCGCGTGTGTGTGTGTGGGGGGGGGGGGGGTAAGCGGGAGAGGGGGAGTTTTAAAAGCATACTGTGTTGTAAAGGTTCCTCTTCCCTGCATCTTTGGCGCAGACCAAAAAGCGTGACTCCGGAAGCTACTTTGCTTGCAAAAACGCTCTTACCAAAAAGCACGTTTTTGTCGTGCCAGACGCTCGCGCCGTTCCTAGTGAAAATCGTCTGACTCGCAACTAAGGGTTGTGGGATCGAATCCCACCAAAAAATTCTTAATTTTTTTTCGTTAAGGCGAAATAATTACTTTCAAAAGTGAAATTATTTGAGACATACGGCGACCTTTAATTCGCATTACATGTCATGTTTTAATCACTCTCATTCCACGCGTGATGTCACGTTTCACATGAGCATTGTGGGAAACTTGAAATTCTTGCGCGAGGGTATGCAGCTCTCACCCCATGAACCTATCGACCCATCAGGATTTTCCAGTCACGCCACCGACGTCAGCTTTTTTGCGACATGAGCTCCTTAACGCTGTCGAGTTAAAATCATCAGTTAGCAAAGGTGATGCTCATTTGCAAATTAAATTGACCGGCATGTTGTCAAGAACAAACCTCAACTGCCAGGCTATGCCAGTTTGTTCTGCAGAAGAAAATATTCACTTGGGCAAGCGCTATTTTGGGCCAGATTCGATCTGAGTGTGAAGGTGAGTATAGATTAGAGTGAATAATTGCGATTACTTCTTGCTGCATGATTAGTGGCACGCATGCGGTGCTGAGTGTAAATAATGTTTGGTTAGAACAACA